CAGCCGGCTGCCAGGCTCCTCTCGCGGTGACCCTGTGGTGCCCTCGGAGGTACAAAAAACGACAAACCGACCCTTGGAAATCACAGTTCCCGGACGTTAGGCGCGCCGGGGGGGTGAACCATTTCCCCAGGCACGGGACTCGGGACTCAGCTGCGGTCAGTCACTCGTAGTCACTGGGGCACTTTCTGCGCCTGAACTTCAGTTCTTGGGTTGAAGTCTGGGTTTTTGTTAATAATTCCAGAACTCAGATAAACAGTGGGCCAGGGAAAGGATGACACAGGCAGAAGCGTGGGGGAGCAGCAGGCCTGGCTCCTGCGCTGCTGCGCCCAGCACTGCTCCTACACCCACAGGCTGCGTCCTCGGGCACCTGGGGTGTCCTGGGGTAGAGGGACCAGCTGAGACAGAAACTGTTTGCACAGGTAATTGTGGGCCTGAGATACTAGAGAACATGAGTTGACAGAAAAAATGCAGCCACTAACATGGTTTCCAAAGGAAAGTGTCCGTAAGAGCCGCCTTCTTTCTCCTCTTTAGCTTCTTGGACAATTAAGGGAGAAAATTTAAATTATGTGACATTTTTTGAAAATAGGTAGAGGAGATGGGTACAGAGGCCTTGCTGGGTGCAGGGCTGTCATATTATTGACATCCAGAGAACCCAGTTGAGGTAAAGTAGGTGAAAAGGAAACTTCATTATTTGACGGAATTATTTATGTTACAACCACAACAGCAGGTGCTGTTTACATATTATCTGAAGCTTAGTTCCTACAAAGCCCATGGGGCTCGTCTGATTCTATAGCAGTTGTTAGACATTGGGGGGCATTATTTGGCCTACAAATTAGAAGTCAGTCAATCTTTGCAGGGCTGGGATTGTGTGAAAGACTCAAAGTTTGGGTGAATCGTGAATTTCTGCGGGCAACTCTGAGTGGTGCAGAGGAAATGCAGTTAACCAGTCAGAACTAATTCAGATACTTTTGTGATGAAAAGAGCTGGGGACTTGGAAATACCCATTGGTACTCTGGAAATTAGTTATATGTCCTACCAAAAGAATAGGTTACAGTTTAGGTCACTGTGGAAGTTTTCATCCTAAACAGGAAACTTTCTTCCTATGTATTTCTGGCACATTCACGGACTCTTCTCACAAGCTATCGATGTAATTTTCTCTTAATATGTGTGTTTCTCCTCTGGGGTGATGTGATCTTGTTAGTAAGGAAACCCTTTAAGGCTGTTCCTCTGCCTTTCTTCTGGGAGGATTTCATTGCATGCAGTTCAAAGAGCTGTTTAAAATGTCACTACTGCAGACCTGACTGAAGGTCTCCCTTGCTAGGCAGAGAGCAGCTTTGTTGTTTGGGGGAATCTGTTCTGATTCACTTTCTTTCTGCTGCACTGCACGTTTCAGGGAGCTGGTTAACATCTCCTTTGAGAGTGCTGAGGGAGCTCTGGCAAAAGTACAGAATCTGTGTCCCTGGAGGGACTTCAGTGTCACCCTCACTAATCAGCACCCAGAGGACTGTTTTGCTCCAAACATGTGGATGGGTATCAGTAATCTCTCTGCTCATCTCAGAGCCACAATTTGGAGACAGAGATACAGCTTTAGGGCTGTGGCAGCCAACTTTTCTGAATCTTAATGTCCCAATCTAAGCTACTGTCACTAGCTCCCTTGCGAGTGACATCCTCACAGCAGAGGTTGAAGGCAGAGGCCTGCACCAGTGTCACAGCTGTGCCCACAGTGATGCTGGGATGTAGCCTGGGTGGCAGAGAGGATGGCACATGTTCTCTCCTGCCTCTTCTATGGGAGTGGAGCAGAGGAGGCAGCAATGTCAGAGCACCACGTAACTGTGTGCTTTCTGAACATGAGGCAGAACCCTTACAAAAGCTCACAAGTCACCAGGTGTTAACAAAGCTGGTCCAGGCAGCAGCTGCAGCATCCCAGAAATTGATAGTCACATTGTCATGGCTGAAATCCCATGGTTACCTGAGGAGCCCCCAGCTACCCGCTGAGCAGTGTAGTCACAAAGCCAGTCACAAGGCTGTTGCTCTTGTCTTGCCCCAGCTAGAGTGCAACAGATGTGATTTGGCTGTAGAAAGGTCTTAGAACTGTGTTCCTCCATAGGCTAGTGGGTTGGAATTGGAGACGAGGGGGAAACAGGAGAGATTTGGGACTCACACTTCCTACCTCTGCTCTGAGCTCTGCAGAAACCTATCAGCTCTTCTCACTCTGCTGGACTTGCCCCTTGTGTGAGTCTAGAGCACATGTAAGGAGCACAGCAGTCAGTCTTGGGCACAGCAGCTGTGCAAGAGCAGGCAGAGGGCCAGGATTCCGAGATCTGTTTAAGGGGTCAAAGCTGAGACACATTCCAGCATGGAGCAGGCTCCACTTTGGTGCAAGGCAGAGAGACAGTGAGTTGGGATTGACAGCCTTTTGACAAGGTAACTGACCCTCTGCCCACCCCTGCAAGCTGCTGGCCTGGACATGTTCTGGCACTGGATTTGCCTTTTGTCTGTCCACATTCCCTCTTCTCCCAATCCCTCTCTCTCTTTCATTTGGCTGGGTTTCTCTCCTGTGTTTGTCATAGATGGACTGGATATTACAGATCAAAAAAATGTCCCTTTGCTTCAGGGAATCATATGATTTTACAGCTGGATAGTTATCCCATAAGGAACTAGCAGTGTTTATATAATTGTGTAAATAAAAGACAGTTGACAACGCATGAAAATAATTACTTCAGAGTTTTCAGACCTACTGCTAAATTGAGTCTTTTTGAGAAGAAATGCTTTTACATTTGGGAACCTTTTCAGGGAGTCATTTAAGGTTTTTCTGTCTCATAAAGTGATGCTTTTTTCATCAAAATAATGTCCAAAACATCAATACTTAGAATCTTCTCAGTGCCTCACTGCATTAATTTCATTCCTGGCAACCAATATGTCCCCAGGTCTGATAAGCTGGAAGAACTGTAAATATCTTTGTACCAAATGACACTTTGGTCAGCAAGTAATTAATGTATGATTGCTAGATTATCTGTGCAACATCTTGGTTCATGCTGTTACTTGTGTATTGTCAGTCAGTTTAATTTACTGAAGTCGGAGCTGAAGTGCCTGGGCAGTGTTCAGTGCTTCTCTGCTGTCTAAGGCAACTGAAATGTGATCTACAAGATTAGCAGTGCTTGTGGGTAGGGAAGGAATGTGGGTTATAGGAAAGCTGCCCCAGTGACAGGGCTGAGGTTGAATGCAGGGTCAGGATCTCCACTGCCTGGTTGTCACTGTGTCCAACAGAGGCTGGACAATAGCTGAGCTGCAACTGTCCTCAGCAGTTGCTCCAGTTAACAGTTGGGATTGTTGTTCCTATGTAGTAGTAAAAGCTGTTCTGAAACTGCATGGCTAATACCAGCTTCGTATCTGTATCACTGTAGCATTTCTTGGGGAGATAATCCATAAGGAACAACCTTGAAGAGACTACTATGGCCCTTGCTGCTCTGCATTTTTTACTGAAGACCCCAAGTGCTGTGTCCCTGCGGGCTCCCCTGAGAAGATCTCTCCAACTGTGCAGCTGGTGCTACCCACTTCATGCCTCTTTGAGTTATGAAGCCATAAAACAACAGTACAGACCAGAGGTGCCAAAGTACTTCAACTTTGCAAGAGATGTGCTGGACAGGTGGACTGAAGCAGAAAAGGTAAGAGTTTCTTGGCTTCCCTGATGATGAAGTATTTAATGCTGGTCATTAATTCTGAATATCTGACAAATCCAATAACCAAGACACCAGGGTTATGTTCTAATTATAATCCGGTGATCATCTCGTGCAATTTGAACTTGTAGGGCACTTGCTGTCCTTTTCACAATTTTCTTTTAATCAATAACTCCAATGAGATTGAGTGTAAGTAAATATGTGCCTCATTAACGAAACTGTACTGAACTGACCTTAAACCTGGCATCACTGCCCTATCAGCTGTGACATGTATCCTACCTGGATGTGCCAGAGAAATCACTTGACCTCTTTATATGTCATTGCCTGCCTGTAAAATGAATAATAAATACAGTGTAATGTCCTACCTATCCCACGTGTGAAATCTCTTGCGTGCAGGGACTTGAAATCTACAAAACTGAACAACTTTGAACTCCAAACCAGACATGAGCTCTATGCAAGGAAAGGGAATATAGAAAAAAAACATGGAGTATCGGTCTGTCACCTTTCTTACTTTGCAGGTCTGGTCTCTGTGGATAGTACTGGTTTTGCAGGCTCAGGCTGTTCATGATGAGGGGCTAAACACAGTTATGTCCAGCCTGACAGCAAGAATAGAGCAGAAGTATCACCTATCTGACAATTTTTCCTCTTGCAGGAAAAACAGGTTCTGACACGTTCTAAACAGAGCAAGGAACACCCTTTGGAGAAGAAGTTTAGCCCTCTGAAGTGCACAGATAAAATCTACTCCCCTCGAAATGAACCTTAGTGTTGTATCTTCAACTAGATAATAAGGTGTCATGTTCGTGCTGCTCCAGTGAATTTTTTGCTGGGGAGGTGACTTGCTACTGCTAAATGCATTTCCCACCTTTAAACCTCATTGTATGCATACATATCAAATCACTTCACACATCAGTTAAGTGAGGCATTTATTAAAGGTCACACTGTGTGGGCTTATGCTTTTGAAACTTTGATTTAATTTTTAGAAGTTCCAAACATGCCCAATTCCAGGTGAACTTGCAGATGAGCTATGAGGGCTCAGGAAACTCCAGGGCACAAACCTGAGGTACCCAAAGTCATCAGCTGCTTTGTTGGTGTGACCTGAAACAAAAGGAATCTTCTTTCTTTGTGTTGATTACTGGAAAACCTCTTTAGAGTATAATATGAAGAACTCAGGAAAGGAATAAAAATTTAATTTCCTAAATGACATTTATAGACTATTTGTATTGTATCCTGTTGTTTTACAGGAGGGAAAAAAGTCTAAAAACCCTGCATTGTGGTGGGTAGATGGTGCTGGAAAAGAGGTGAGGTGGAGCTTTGAGGAGCTAGGAGTGCTGTCCAGGAAAGTGGCAAATGTTCTCTCTGATGCCTGCAGCCTGCAACAGGGAGACAGAGTTATTCTTATTCTGCCCCGGGTCCCAGAGTGGTGGCTGGTGAATGTGGCTTGCATGAGAACAGGTTAGTAAAAGCATACAAATGGTCTATAGGTGCAGAAATTGTGACTTAAACCAGTCCCTGATATTTAATGCATTCAGAGCTACCAACATGCCAATTAGGATGAACTAGTGTCAAGCTGGTCAAAAACACTCTTCATGCCAAGCTTTTTCTTTCTGGTGCTTTTAGGACTTCAGCACATGTTCTGGCTGTTAAAGACACCCTGTGAGTCCATTCTCTTCTGTCCAGCACTTGTGAGACATCACAAAGACACTCTTCTGCTAACTTGCAGTGAAATTAGCCCACACTTAATGAAGTGTTTCACATGTTCCCCTTTGGGGTCTGTTAAATGCTCAGCTTTCCAGCATTTACAACCCAGGATGTCCTGGTGCTTCACGAAGGCTAGCAGTATACCTTGTGAGGCAACAGCTGTGTTTACCAGTAAAGAAGTCTGGAGAGACTTGTTCCAGGGAGAGCGTGTTCAGAATAAGGGAAGTTGTTCTATTGATTTCTTTGGTGTCTTGTGATCAGCCTGATATTTGCTAACTTGTGCTAGTCCTCACACAGCATTTAACCCATCAAATAAATTGGCACATTTACAAACGTAAGGCCAAGTTCTGCTCTTAGTGTGGTCCTGTCCCACTCAAAAGAACAAAGTAAGCTGAAATCTGCTTATAGGTGCAAGTGTCATTCCTGAATGTTGAGGCTGCTTTTTCATTCCCTTTCCTTCACTTCAGGAACAGTTTTGATTCCTGGCACGCAGCAATTGACAGCAAAGGACATTCTTCATCGACTCCAGAAATCCAAGGCCAAGTGTATTGTCACTGATGATTCTGTGGCACCAGCTGTAGACTCAGTTGAGGCTCAATGCCAGTCTCTGAAATTCAAGTTGCTTGTATCAGAGGGCCACAGAGAAGGATGGCTGAACTTTAAAGGTCTTCTGAAGTGAGTAACCACTGCTGTGAAAGTGCCACATCAATAATGAAAGAAACGCACAGCAATTTGTTTTGAATAGTAAATGTTGAAACACACCAATATATTTTCGCCTATTTAGGACTGAACAGTGGAAAAATGTCAATGTTTATGATGTTTTTGATTGCTACAGTTATTTGGGTTAAATATTTTTTAAAAGATGTAAGTCACACTTTCAAATGACTTTATTAATCGTTTTGCTTATTTTAAGAAATGCTCCTTCTGATCACCACTGTGTTACCACAAAGTGTCAAGATCCAATGGCCATCTATTTTACCAGTGGGACTACAGGATCTCCAAAAATGACTGAGCATTCCCACAGCAGCTATGGTATTGGCCATACGCTAACTGGAAGGTACAGATATCACTTTAAATCAGACGTATTTCTGTAGCTGATCACCCAGCTGAAGGAAGAGATTTTTACCAAAAGCTTTTGTTTCAGTAGTTAAAAAAACAGCAGTTGTTTTATATCACAAAAAGTGGTTTGTTTTTTTCCATAAAACAAGGCAGCTTGAGTCCAGTTGCCTTAGTGTGTAGAAAATGTAACAGTCATATAGTCACTGACTTCTTTTCAACATTTTTTTTAACTTTTGATCAGTTCTTCGTTGTGTATAGTTAATAGATTCCCCGTGAACTGGACTGGAGCACAAGTTTATGAAGTCTGTACCATAAGGGGGAAAAAAACACAGGTCTGTTAGGCTTCTGAATTCATGTGTATCTGCATGAGGCAGCTCTTGCTGGCACAAAATGGTGATCGTTCAGAATCTTTGAATTTATAAAGCAGTGTTCTTTATAAAATTGACCTGGCAGTGTACTTCACTCTAACAGGCAAAGAATGACAAATTGGAAAATGCCCAACTAGAAATGAGTGAAAAAAAAAAATCCTAATCCTTAAAATCAGTTCAACCAGCAATCTCATACATATTCATACATCATGTTCTGAGGTGGTTTTAACTTGTCTATCAGTATAATTTTTCCCTTAGAAAATGCAACATCAGTCTATCCTGACAACATCCCCTCTATGCTCTGACTTACCCCTTCTCAGAAATTCAGCCATTTCTAGTTGCCGTTTACGCAAGAAACCAGTGATGGATTTGCTTCACTGGCAGATGTCTTGTGGATATTTTAATATTTGATTTATTCTTGCCAAATAGAGACTGTGAAGAATTGCTTTGTGTTAACAGGTGTTGGCTGGACTTGACTTCCTCAGATGTATTTTGGAATACATCAGACACAGGCTGGGCAAAGTCAGCTTGGAGCAGCGTTTTTTCACCATGGATTCAAGGGGCGTGTGCATTTGTACATAAGATGCCACAGTTTGACCCAACCATTGTCTTCGAGGTAAGTGAGGAGAGCCCAGCAACAAACATTGCTGTTCTCTCTGGCGGGTCTTGCCGAGGTTTTAATTTCCCCTGGCACTGCACAGGAGGCAGCATGCAGCACGGTTACAGATTGCACCAGGTGGTAACCAATTGTTTAGTTAAGGAGTGAGTGCTGCAAATATGTGCCCCAAAACTAGACACTATTTGACACCCCAAGAGTTTCATAATAACTGTGCTCTGAATTTGACTGCACAAAACTGCAAACATCCATTATTAGGCCTAGAATTGAAGTACACAAGAAATTGTCTGGGATTTGTGGAGCACTTTGGTGTCATTAAAATAACTGACAATAACAGAAGAATGAGAATTTCAATTCTCTGCACCATTTAATTAAAAGTTAAGAGGCAGCAAGGCTGAATTTCTTCAATAAGGGCACCAACATTCTATTCTCTTACATCTAGCACACACAGTTCATCATTTGAAAAAGACAACCGTGTTTCATTTTACATGGAATGACTTTAACATCATATCCAGGTTAATTAGATGGCTGGAAACTGCTAGTTAATGTTAGGCTATGTTAAAGAACACTGTTAGTTGTACACTTAACAGAGCATCTTAAAAAGTAGCCTTAGCCTGTTTTCTACTTAAACTGCAATTACAATTAAATTCTGCAAGAGAAACCGTAAAGCTTTCAAGAGCAAAAAATGTTGGTGTGTTGAACTAATTATAACGTGGTGTAGATTTAGTTCTGAAGAAGAAACTAATTAAATATATCTGCTGTGTGTTGGTGTTGGCAAGTACAGAGCTGACTCCTTTTAGGACACTTAACATTCTGTTAAGGTGTTCCATAAGCTGGATGCAGAGATTGTTACATGACCTCTTACAATGAAGATCGGACATTGCAGGTTTGAGTATATTGGCAAAGTTTACTTTTTTTGTTCTAAATTCTCTAGACTCTGTCAAGATTTCCCATAACCGTCTTATGTTGTCCTCCAACTGCTTATCGAATGTTTGTGCAACATAAACTGTCCAGGTGAGCAACAGCAGAGTATCTTTGGTGTATTTGATCAAAACACTAGAACAAAAGCTCATCTCACCTCGATTTTATTGGAAGTTTACAATGGCATAACAGTAACTCAGATCATGTGTTTCTCAACATTTTGAATCTAAGTATTAGGAACAAGGTCAGAACAAAGATTTAGCGGTAGCTTAACCATTTTTATTCAGCTTTTTGTTTAACACTATATAGTTCAAATTGAATTAACAGGACTCAGTTAAAAGTTGTTCTTATGTAGAAGAATCCTCACAATACAGAATGAATGGGGCATAGCAGGTAGATGACTGCCCATTGTTTTCTCTTTTCCCCTAAGCTACACCTTCAAAAGCCTGCGGCACTGTGTGAGTGCTGGGGAGCCCATCAACCCTGATGTGATGGAAGAATGGAAAGCACAGACTGGGCTGGATATTTATGAAGGCTATGGACAGACAGAAACAGTATGTTCTGCTTTACAAATGTAAAAATGTAGGCTTCACAGACACAGCCGTGAAGTCTCTCAGGTTGCCAAGAAAAAGTGATTACAATGATGATACACAGTTATGATTTTTAGGGGGAAAGGCAAGTGCAATAAGCAATGCTGGAAAAATGTAGGTTGAACAATCGTAACAGCTTCACCCAAAATCCAAGGACTGTTTTTCATTCCTCTCAGCTTTAGACTGGGAACACAAAAGGGGTATATTCCTCATTACTGCATTCCAAATTCTGCTTTAAAAATCTGTCTTTAGAGCACTCACTCTCATTATTTGGAGATGTGGGCATAGTTTATTTCTAGAAGTTTAATCATTGGATATGGATATAATGAAGCCCATTAGTACTTCTTATGGAAATACACAATATTAGCTGAGTATTTTAAACTTAAGCAAAAGACTGAATATACAAGCCACATTTAATTTAAATAAAAACTAACCCAAACAACATTCTTCACAGGTGCTGATCTGTGGAAATTTTAAGGGAATGAAAATCAAACCTGGCTCTATGGGAAAGCCATCTCCAGGGTATGATGTCAAGGTATGGTACCTCTGGTGATTCAGTCTCTCTCTCTTGCATAATCACTTTTCATTAAAGAGGTTTGAAACCTCTCAACAGAGTTGTACCATGTACCATCATTCAGGAGGGAGTGAAACAGTGAAGAAATGCATGTTACTGCCCTAAACTGAGCATGCAAAATAAGCAACTGAACTTCCCTGTTGCACCATCCTCACTAACATGGATGACCACCCACTGATAGCTGACAGATACCAAATGCTGAGGCAATGATAGAAATTAAACTGCTTAGTTAATAAAGAGTGGGTATGAATGTTGTTTCCTGGTGATAAGATTTCTAGTATCTGTCTTTCAGTTCTTAACTTTTCCCACCCCATTATTTGTGTTCCTCCCTGGGGTCTTACTAACTTCATTACATGTTTGCATAGTACTTGGCATTCCTGGTAAAAGACATAGTGCAAATACAGTAGGTTATTACTAATCTTACACTTCAGTTGTCAGAGTAAGACCCTTTCCTGCTCCAGATCATTTCCCAATAAAGAAAATACTTTGATTAGGCATTTTAAATGTGCACCAAGATTATATGATTTTATCTTAATGCTTTTTAATTTGTCTCCAAGGTAATAAAACTGTGGCTTTGTTTATTTTTAGATTATAGATGAAAACAGTAATATTCTGCCTCCTGGAAAGGAAGGAGATATTGCCATCAGAGTAAAACCTACAAGATCGCTTTTTCTTTTCACTTGCTATGCTGTAAGAATATTTCTATAGTTAGAGTTCCTGTTAAATCTCCCTCACAAAGAATCTGATGCCCCATTTTGTTCACATATACCCTGCTTCCTGGTCTGAAAATCCTGGGGGGGGAAAGATGGATTTCAATTTTTTTCCCTGCAGATGCTTGGTCTAATTATACACACAATTATGTGTTTGATAAGATTGTTCTGCCTAGCAAGTTAAAATCCACTTTATTTTGATTCTTAATTACTTCATAATAAAAGGAAACGTTTGATGGACCCCCTAATGCCAAAATACTCTTTAGCCTAAGGGCTAGAGCTCCCATCTGAGAAATAAGACACTGGTTAAATCCCTTCGCTCCAGGTTGGAGTTTCGTGAGGTGTTTCATACACGGCAACATTTTTTAGTGTTTTTTTTTCCTTGTTGGTTAGAATTTTCAGTACAACAGCCAGTAGAACAAACCCATAGTGGTGTCTGTTCTGACAGCAGAAATCCTTGTTAAATTGTATCAATGTCATCTAATCAGGGCTCCCGAGCAGTGCTGAGCATGCAGGGAAGGAATACCCTGCGTACTGCCTAGAAAAATTCTTGCAGTTGCATTTACTATAGTTCCGTAAGTCTGCATATTTTTGCAACCTTCAGTGGTTCCCAAAACTGTGGGGCATAACTTGATATGATTAAAATTTTAAGTTGGTCACATTTATTGCAATTGATTAATTTTATTTCTAGTTTTGTAGCTTAGTAATGGTGAATTAATAGTTCTTTATTAATGTCCTGCTTGAATCTGGTGCATATGACCACAGTACAGACCAGTATGGGAAGCTACAAATTTTTAATAGTTGACTGTACCATAACTTACATGCTAAATATGTTAGAATGCAATTTCATTTATTTTTTAGGTAGTTTTCTTCAAAATGCAATTTAATATTTCCTAGGATGATCCAGAGAAAACAGAGGCAACAACACGTGGGGACTTTTATGTCACTGGAGACAGGGGGATTATGGATGAGGATGGATACTTCTGGTTTGTTGGAAGAGCTGATGATGTCATTAATTCTGCTGGGTAATTTGAAACTGTTTAACAATAAATCATTAAATTTGACTAACACAGATTCAGATGTGAAGTTTTGTTTGTGTGTTATCAAATACAACTAAAAGCTCTTTCCTCCATTTTAAAGATACCGTATTGGACCATTTGAAGTAGAAAGTGCCCTAGTGGAGCATCCTGCAGTGGTGGAGTCAGCAGTTGTCAGCAGCCCAGACCCCATCAGAGGAGAGGTAAAGAAATTAAATAAGTTTATATATTTAAGTAGCTTTGTGCATACCAGAGCTAATAAAGCCTAACTTTCAAGGGATTTCTCTATCCAGGGATTAATTTTTTTTCTTTTAAAAATTAAAACTAAATAAACTCAAGTCAGCATTTCTACTCTTATCAGACATTGGAGAATCCACACAGGAAAAAAAACCTGACCAAGGCAGTTGCCCCAGATCCAATATAACAAAAGCACCATTTGAAACTTTCCCTGTCATTCAAATAATTACAGTTTTAGACTTCATTAAATGTATATAAGCTGTCTGCACAGTCCAGATCAATAGTGAGCACCCAAAGACTTTGCAAACCTCTCTGTCTGCCCTATACATTACTCTGCAATTTGTGAGCAAATGTTTGGTTAATGTTTCAAATCTTACTGTTGTGTTATAGTTTCATTGGCATTTAAACCACTGCTGCCATAACTTCTTTAGGTAGTGAAAGCCTTTGTTGTGTTAACATCTGACTATGCTTCACGTGACCCAGAAAAATTGAAGAAAGAGCTACAAGATCATGTTAAGAAAGTAACTGCTCCATACAAGTATCCTAGGAAGGTGAGTGCACAAATATCCAAATAATTTTCAGTCATAAGACAGTGGCTGTTTACTGCCATGTGGCTTATAAACATATGCCACTTGGGTTAAGAAAAATTAAAAATGTAGGTCAACTCTCTCTTATTTTGTATTGCAATCTTCTCAATATCCCAACAGATGGAGTTTGTTAAACAGTTGCCAAAAACTATTAGTGGGAAGATCAGAAGGAATGAACTGCGCCAGAAAGAGTGGAGAAAAGATTAGAAGAGCTTGTTGCCTTTTTATAGAATTTTTTACAAAGTAAGATACTGCAGATTTACACAGTAAGTAAGAGACATGCTGTGTCCTTCTTAGCTTAGTTTAGGTTTGCATAAATTCTTACCTGATTTCTAGCATTTGGCTGTCCCAGGTGCTACACTTATAGCACAAAAGCAGGCAGATTGATAAAAATGAAAGGGGAAACCTATATAGTCAAGAGCATGACTGCTAATGTGTGTTAAATAAAGTGTACTACATTTAATGAAGTGTTTTATCTTTGTTCTTTAATTTAAAAGATAACAAACCAGTAAGAGTTTAAAAGAACAGTATTGCTTCAAGAATCACTTTGGAGAAGTGCAACACCTTCTAAATACATTTTTTAAAGTTAGTTATAATTACAAGTATATTTAGAAAAGTGTAAATAAAATCTATATCATTAAAATGTTCTTTAAGAGCTGGACTAGTAAAGAACACATCTTACAGCAAAAATTTATATTTGTTGCAGCAGCTGCTTATGCTTTAGCACTTAATAGTTTAATCTGTTATCTCACACTTCATTAATGAGATACTTTACGATATATTGATATTTTTGTATGCTTGAGCAATTTTAATTTCCTCTCTATGTTAACCAGTGTCATTTTTCTCCCATTCTCAGAACATTTATCTGACATCATTTTACTGTCTTGATCATGTTAAGCATAATCAACTTACCGAGTTTAAGATTCAGACAAAAAAAAAATCACCAGTTTTCAAGTTCTCATAGAGGGTCTAAGACACAAATATTTTTTGTTGGAAGAATTTCCTAATTTACTAGCAGAAGTTCCAAGCAAGTTCAAAGCATCTGCATTCAGGATAAGACCATTAGATTTCTCTTTTAGAAGCACATATTCCCACTTGAAGTATCCACAACCTTTCTTCCCACCTTCATGCCTGCCAACAGGACAACAGAAAAATGCTTTCCCATGATTTGGACCAGGATTTGATACATACAGTTTTTTAGCTCTTCGACCACAGTTACACAGAGGGGGAGTTGGTTTTCCATTTTTCACAGCTCTTACAGACTGATTCAAATTGACTGTGGAGTTCAGAATGGCAGGAGAAACTGGGGGCAAATTTGAACTTCTTAAAGGTAAGGAATGATCAAAAGATGCAGTTTTCTCTTGATATATAGCAAAAGACTGTTTTTTGGCTGGTGGGAGTGTTTTTGGACTAGGTGGCTTTCTTTTAGGACCCTCTGAAAGAGTAGAATGATTTCCAGTGAATGCTGGTTGTGCTGAAATAGGATTTGCCTTTGCAGATGGTAACTTAAAAGCTGAAAAATTTGAAATCTGCCTTTGTATTGTTCCTACATTATAGATAGTAGTATCAGGACTTTTGTAAATGATAGATTTCAGAGGTTCCTCAAGTACTGCAGTGTTCTCCAAACCTTGATTACCTGCACTCATCACAGCCAATTGTTTTGAAATGGTTTTCTTTTCAAACGCTGTTACACGATCTGCACCTGAGTCATCTTTGAATTGAACACAGTCTGAATTTTTTTCGTATTGAGATTCTGGTATTAAAGCAACATCTTCCCAGTCAGTCAGCAGAGATAAGCAATCAGAACTAGTACTGATGTCCTCACTGGAGATACTAACTGAGGGGATGGTAGTAGAGACAAGCACTAATCCTGCCCCAGGTGCTGGGGGGCTGTGTCTAGCAGTGCCCAGCGCTGCCCCACTGCCCAGGCCCTGCCAAATGCCTCTTGGCACAGGACGGGGAGGCTGCTGTGCCTGCTCCAGGGGAACAGGAAGTCTGTCAGTGGGTGCTGTTAAGGAGCTTTGGGCTTGGACATATAACTCAGTCCTTGAGCTGCTGCTAGGCATGGCATGGACATCTGCAGAGGAGTCACTGCAAGTGGTCTGACGTTCTTCAGTTTGTACATCAGAATTTGTTGTCATTCCAGCAATACTGTTGTGGTTTTTCTCAGCTGGACAGTTTGTTTCACAAGTTCCATCTCTAGATGTTTCATGTCTGCTGTTACTTCCCAGTGGAGTCTTGTCAATGAAGTTTATGGTTGATGTTCTGGAAATTAAATTACTCTTCAGCTGTGCCTGGGGAGTCTGTAAACAAAAGGAAGTTTTGGAAAGTGAATACCCAGAAGTTTTAGGAATTGATGCACAAAATTAATAAGCATATCAGCCTAGGGATGTTCTGTTAAATTCATAGTCAGGATGCTGGGTTTGTTATGTGAGTAACTCACCTTTCATCTGTATTCCAGGCTACAAAGAAAGTAGGAGAAAAGATATGAAGTAGTTACTAACCTTATCCAAAGATTTAGTCACCTTCAGCACACATCCATCACAAATCAGCCTCCAAGCAAGACGAGCAGTGTTCCGAGAATCATCCAACCCTTCAAAAGTATGGTCATATTAATGTCTTCTTTTTAAACTGCTATTGGGGATAGCTCTTATTAGAGGAAAAATGTAATCTAAGCCTTACATAAATGACAGGGATTCACAGCACTCTGACACATAGTTACCTAGTTCAAAAAGGTGAAGCGGAGGTAAAAAATTCCCTGTACTGGAACACCTTAAGGACTAATCCATAGAGCTGAATATATATCCACAATTTTAAAAATCCTTTCTCTGCTTTATTAATAATGTAAAAACTTTCTTAAAATCATATTGTGCTAATACCTGTACCTCGCCTCTTTTTATGTTTTTGTTGGACAGAACATTGCATAACCTGGAAACAGTAGTTAGAGTAATGACTTAACTACTAGTAGTTGCTTTAGTTTAGCTAACTAAAGCTAACTTTGCTATTTACCTTTATTTAAAAAGAAATAAATTAAAATGAGGATCATCACATCATACTCACCAGAATGTTCCCGTCCTGCAAAAGCTATCCCCAAATCCTGCAAAGCACCATTTAGCCCTTTGGGCTTCCTATTATAGAAGGCCTAAGGAAAAAAGCACAGGTGCTTAACAGAAAGCATTTCAAAACCTCTTCATAGTGAAGTGAAAACCATTTCAGAAATATCACCTTATGAATAATAAACCTCACATGACAATTGTGCAAGTTAGATATCTTAATTTTACAGTTGGGAAAAAGAAGCATTAGACCATGAGTGTGTTGGCCTGTAATAAATGAGAATGGAAGGAGCTGCGAATCCCTTCTCTCAGCCTTAAACTAATCCATGCTGTCTTAGCTCTGGAGTAAATTTATTTGCACTTATGGCCTACATTGATGAAGGCCTGAGCAAGCAGCACTGAAGAACAGAACTATAAATAACTCCTCAAGATGCTCAAACTATAGCATATTGCAAAGGCACAGGCATTAATATATTTGGCATAGGTATAATAGGTTTTTTTTAAACGAGAAGAAGTGAGCATTGTCACTCCCTGCCAGTACCTTGTTTTATCACAAGAAGAGGAATACTTACCCTGTTTGGAGACCTAATTCTGCTACCTAGGTTGACAGCCTAAGCTTCAACTGTTGGGAGAGGCAGACTCTTGGATAACCCTTTGAAAGTTTCCATAACTAATACACAGGGGAAGGTGTTATTCATACTATTCAGCATATACTTTCTGGTCAAAGTACAGTTCCCCTTTAAGCACCCCTAAGCAGATGACAGTGACTATTTTCTACACAGCAATATAAGGCACCAGTAAGAGCACACAAAACCAGAGAAGTTAGGAAGCAAGCAGAGTAAAGAATATCAGGAAAGGAAGGGCACCTTGAAAAATTCTCCTAGGATTATTATCATCCATTTATCAGCAATAAGACCAGGTTGTTTTCCTAGCATTAAGATTGCTTTAAAAATTCACACAGTTCTAGGGCTTGCAATTTGTTACTGAGCAATAGCAACATGGAAAGAAAACAAATGAGTTACTCTAGCAATTGGAATGTAATATTGGCTTGTAACCTAAGATACAGTTGGTCTTTGAGACAACAATATGGGTATAAATGTTTCACAGTCTTATCAATCTGCTCACCCTGTATGTAGCTTTCAGATCAATCCAGGAATTTAAAATGTCAGGTTTTCGCAGCTGCTTCCTTTTACACTCATACTGCAGACACACCCCCAGGTCCCAGTCTGCACAGAAAAAAACCCAAAACTCAACCCTTTAAATCAACATAACAGGACCTACCATCAACATATACTAGTAGCATCCTGCACTGCAGGAGCATAGGCTGCTAGGGAAGCCTTTGTACAGGAAAAGCACTAGGGTTGCTGCAGTGGGACATCAGGATAAGTGAATGTCTATTGTTAGTAAAGAATGACTTAATGATGGGTAAAGATCTCAAAGAGCTCATAAATCATTTAGACACATTAAGAATGGTGACAGTTTATGTAAAGCAGAACAATGTAACAGTGTCAGACCTTGGTGACAAAGATGTAGAGAACCCACCAGGATTCAGTACATTTAATATTTTCAGTCTTATCCTGATATTGCACATCTTTAATACCTAATAATAATGATAATAATAAGCTTTTGGCTCCCTGGAAGTGCAGACACAATCTCACTAGCACCACCCAATGTTCTTATGAGAATTGTTCCACAGAAAATGAAAATTGTTCTTACCTGTCCAAGTAACAAAGGTACATGGTTTTGTCTCAGCAGTAGAACGACTTGGAGTATCTGAACTGAATATAATTTTCTTCTCCTTTTGTATCTTTTCAATCCATTTCAAAAACTGCGATAGACAAATGTTAAGGGGGATGCCTTCATCAACTTGATTCTTTATGGAACAGAAAAAGGTGTGTTAGCGTGTGCTGAAATTAACTTGAGATTTTTTTCTCTCTAGCTCTTTAAAGGCGTGTTTAAGAAAACTAGTAAATAGCAGTTATACCCGTGTGATGGCAGATAGCAGTTATACCTGCGTTATGCCAGTCAGTTCTGTACAAAATTCAGAGAGAACAGGATGCTCCTGTGGCTGGACATACGTGTGGAACTCTGCCTCGATCTCTCCCGTTGAGGTGTTTAACAGGACTGCTGGGAATTCAACTGTGACAAAAACAAAACGGGGGGAAAAAAACAAACACCAAAACAACACCCAGAACACACAGCCGGGCAGGTTAAAGCTGTTCACGGAAACGGCTCCGTTCGCTCGTTGGCACCTCAGGCACGGGCAGGAGCGGCGGGCTCGGTGCCGCCCCGCACTCACCGATCTCGGGGGGCCGGCGCCCCGCGTCCCGCCAGCACGTGGCCTCGAAGTCCAGCACCACCAGGTACCCGAAGCGCTGCCCGGCCTTCCGCGCGCTGCTCCGCGCCCGCGCGCTGCTCCGCGCCAGCCCC